TTTAGAAGATGTTTTTGCAAGTTCACAGTGGATAACTACTCACTTAACTGGCAAAACAACGGTACATGTTCTGATGGAAACTGTTCTTTAGGCACTTTCCTAGAAATATAATTGAAAATATGGCGAAGTGTAGTTGGGCAAAATCATCCGCGTTCCAGAGTACTCGCACAACCGGTTTTTTGATCCGATAGAAGAATTTCGTTTCTTGGAAGAGTTTTTCAATTAAATCGACGCAGAATTTCCTGGCTGGGAACTCGAATGGTTTCATACCTGGCTAGGTCAATAGAACATCTATAATTCTCCCTGCTTATTGTTGAGTACCCCTTAAGGATACAATATACTTTCAGGGGCTAAATTTTTCGATTTCCTTTAAGTATTAAAGTGTAATCTATTGGATTTGATCACTTTGGCAGATGAAAAAAAGTGTTATTACTGGCGAGAATTTAGGAAAAAATCAGATTCCGATAAACAAATCGTCTATCGAAACGTTGAAAGTGCTTTTCTCTGCTTAGGGTTTCGAACCGATTGGCCAAACATTTTCGGATTCGGGACTCACAGAGTTGAACCTTGATAATTGGCACAGAGTAAGCTCAACTGCATTGCGGGCACTATCAGCCCTTACGTAATGGAAGGGCGGGGAAGAAGGTAATGTGCAGGCGCGATTGCGTGCATAACTTGGATACCCCATAGTTTGCGCCAAGACACACCGGTAGATGACAATGAAGTGCTCATACTCGGGTGCCGAGCCTTAATGCAGCGGTTAGGCATTACATGTGGGCTCCACGTGGGCTAGTGGAAATGAAGCCGCGTAAGCAAGTAATTTGTTACCCGCGTTTTGAGCGGGAAATCAAACTGTTGAGGTTGTAGTTGAACAGTAATTATCAGTATTTTGCAATTTCTATTCAACTCGCAAAGCAACAACACCGGCAGAGCTAAAGCTTTGTCAACCGCAACCGTATTGTTTTACTTACTCACTGTTCTCACGTGTGTACTCTTCAAACGACCGGTGATGTCTCTAAACGCGAAGTAGTTTACCGTCGTTTCTTTCAATATTGGCTCATTTTCCTAAACCGAAATTATCAGTCACGCTCGACAGAATATAATTTTAGCTGATTCTGACATCATACGCTTCATCTGAAGAAGGAAACATTCCCTGTCTTCGAAAATTTGCTCAAAACATTAAGGTCCTTAGCTGCTAGAAGATATCGCTGACTAACATACGTGTTGGTCGCTTTGAAAGTCCCCAGGTTCCAGACCTGGTTAAGTTTTCTCTCCTCCCCACCCCCCTGGACTGTTCCCTAATCCCCTTGAAGAAACTCTTCTACAACCACTGCTGAAGAGTTTTATTACAGTTTTTATTATAAAGAAGGGCTGGAAAATAAGCTAAAAGAGCTCCGCTATTAGGTTTGGCTAAATCTAGATATTAATATGCTTTGCATGCCGTCAAAAATTTTGTTACAGTTGGCGCGCCATACACCATAGACTAAACACAGGCCGACAACCCGGTGGGTTTGAGGCCGCGTGACGTCAGTTATTTGATACACAATTAGAACTCTTACATTGTTTTTATTTTGCAGCGGTCGATCTCGGCAAGACGCGAGTGATCCCGAGAAATGTTTCATAAATACCGCAAATCATAACATTTCTTCCCCAAAATCCGCTTCATGACGATCAGATAAATAAAGTTCACTAAACTTTGTTTTTCTGTGTTGTCTCGAGTGATTTTGCAGGGTTTTGGGACGGTTAATTCCCCACTTTGCACTGATGCCCCTCCAAAGGCAAAGGAAAAACACAAGGCCTGCAACTTCCAGAACCGGCTGAGCCAAAAACCTCCAGAACTTCGCCGAATTTCTTCCGCTTCCAAATGTCGCTCATCTCCCAGCTTCGGGCACATAATGTGGACCCAATGTCGGAAATCGAGCTGGCTTTTGAGGCGGTTAGAGGCGGGCAATTGCACTGATTTTTGGCTCAGCGTTTACCGATTTTGCCCGTCTCGCCGAGATCGATCGTTGCAAATTACAAACAATGTAAGAGTTCAACTAACGTATCAAATAACTGACGTCACTCGGCCTCAAACCTACAGGGTTGTCTACCTGTGGACTATGTTTTTGTTTGATTGATCTAATTTTGTCGCGTATGCAAATCTGACTCGATCTCCCAATGTCAATAAGTTTGAATAAAAACAACAACAACAACAACAACCATGTTTACAAACTTATGAAATTACCGAGTCCCTCACTACACACACAAGGAGTCGATATTTTTTAGATGACAGTGGAACATCTTTTTGTAAAGGACCCTAAGTTTTTGATCACACACTTACCAAGTTAAAATCATTCATCATTTCCATTGCGTCCACATCGTTGTGCTGAGGAACACGGAACACTTCGGTTTGATTATCGACATCCACTTCTAAAATCTCCTTAAACTCCGTTCCCCTTTCAAGAATGTCAAGGGAGTAACGGTCAACCTACAGTTTCGCCAAAACGGTACCTTCAGTCTTTTTAGATTTAAAACACTTCGTGTAAGACACACAGAGAACCCAGAGAAACAAAAAATTAGTACCTTACAGTTTACTTGGACTGTATAGAAGGAAATGAGCAGAACGCCAACCAAAGAGGCAATCTGAAATTTCAAAACGTTAAACAATAATTAAAAAAGCAGCTCATTTGAGACTGTTTTAAAAAGCTAGCACTGTAGTTATGGGTTGCTACTTATCATCGGTGTGGATTCCAAAAAATTAATATTAGCCATCATGTTACAAACCGGTTTTGAATCAAAATGCGTCTGATTAAACGATTTGGTCTTGAATAGAATGAAGGAACTATCCATGATTAAGAGAAGTCTAGACATCTTTTAAAAATTACTCTATGCACTTACATTCCGAGTGTTTGCACAATGTGTGAAGTCCTATCATTTTAATGGTCCTAGAAGTTTCAATTTTATTTTCAATCGAGAAAACTTACCATTTTCCCCAAAAATTTCCGCTGAGCTACGATCGAAGCTTTGTTCATGTAACAACAAAGCAAGTAGACGCCAGAGAGATTGATTCACTTTCTGGTGAGCCTTTGTTAGTAATATACATGGCGCTACAGCAATCTCGACACAAATGGTGGCTGTTTTGAAATCAGAGCTTCTTTGTCGAATTTCCTCTTCAGCGTTATAGGAATTACTTTTCTTAATGGAAAAAGTCAGTCACACAATGGAGGAAATACTTGTCTTGTTTTGTGAAATTCACGATGAAATTTAAGAAGTCAATTACAAAGGTTACTAGCTGCTTCTTCCCTTTTGGCTGAGAACTATTAATATATAATGAATGCGTGTTCAGGCCTCGCAAGCTGCAGTTACATTAACAATAAATATGTGTATTCTCCCTTTCTAGCAACTGATTTGCTTTGGCTTTTAATAATATTTTGTAGTGTTAAAAATGGTTTTGGCCACGTTATAGTTACGTTCTACTTAATTGTTATGACTTCCGTGAAACCCTCCAGTAACGTCTGATAAATCGATCATTCGCGATGTACAGTACTAGCTTTAAACAGTATTTTATTTTGATAGTATTGAATTGTAAGATGTGACTTTAAAAGTCTAGAAATACCACTGTTGCATAAAGCAACAAAAGATTGTTCTTTGTAACGATTATTCCCTCAAATAATAAAAGCTTGAAATTATCGATCGCGTCGTTTATTTGAAAGAATTCCAGTCGATGGCAGTATTAATTTGAAAACTGTGACAGTCTCTAAACTTCTAGCAACACCAATGTTACTTAAAACAGGTCAGAGCTCCATGGGATCGAAGTTATTTTACAACTGCTTTGGTCGCAGTCAAAAGATTTACTGTCAATACTAACACACCTAAAACAAATGAGTAACATTTAAAAAAAAGGGGACGTTTTGATTGTGGTTTTTAACAGTTGGTTGACCCAAAAAAATGAAAGCTTTAAATCATCGATTGCGTCGGTTACTTGTAATACATCCAGTGCTATTCCAAAGTGTGAATCAGTCAGATATCCATGAACAGCGCAATGAATTTTAGCAGTGAAAACCTGGGTGTAGAATTCAAGTGAATATCAGACTTAAGTCAGCTAAAAAATCTAAAAGATTTAGATACACTCAGAAACAAAACGATACTCAATGAAGTAAACATTTACAAAGCTGGGGAAGATTTCAAAGGATTTTGAAGAAAGAACGACCTTTCATTTTGGAGGTCATGTGAAGATCGCAGTGGTTGGTGTCTACATGATGAACACGTAACGCAGACAGCTTACAGAACAGCACTTCCTTAAGCGAAACAGTGAGACGAATACATTTATGAGGCCATGTTCAGTGATGTATGTCAGTGTTTTAAGCCATTTTAGCCTCCTTTAGTGTTAGTGTATCATGAAGCAGTCTCAATTACGCGCTTCCCCACAAAATAAAATCGAAGAATGAGATAAAAATCACTATTAAATCTTAGAAGCCAGTCGCGACGGTAGTTTCAGTAAACCTCTTCGCTTAGGAGCATCAATGACGAATGCAAGACGAGGCCTCATTTTCTAAAATCGCATTGAAACTTCTTTTTTTCCTCTGTATTTTTTCCCCACCTCACAACAATAAAAACTGGAGTTGTGTCTGCCATACGTAAATACTTTGTCTCAATTTAACTTTCACGAAGCCCTCCAGTGAGTGAGTGTTAATTGATCGGTCTGTATATTTGTTGTAAATTGTAAACGGTATTCTCATCCAATAAAGATGGAATCAGAGCTTCTGGCCTCATTTATTTTTACTTCCCTGACAACGTCTCTAAGCATCTAAAAACGACAAATCTGAAACAGCAGTAAGATCCCCGAAGTTATAGCTAAATTGTCACGCTTGTACTTCAGTCGTCTGTTCGTGACATTGCGGTTTCTTAAAGGGTGATAACGCAACACGTTGGAATTTTTAACAACGGACAATTGTTTGTAGAATTCTCATGAATTAAAAAGAAAGACTCTCAAAAAAAAGGATAACAAAAACGATGGCTTTATCCAAAAGATTTATCGGATGAAATATCCCAACTACTTGCAACATTAAAAATGACAATGAAACTCCTCCACAAACTCCATACATGCCTCCTACACATTAGCTACACATTACTTCAAACACTTTTTACTGTATTGAAAAAAATATGTACAGATGTTTTATCTAATTGTGTTAAAAAACATTTTTCTTTTTTGCAAGATTATATAGGTTACTTATTTTTGTTGAAATTAATTCTGTATGGAACCAAAGAGGACTCTCTCGCAAAAAAACACCTTCATGTTGATAGAAAAACAAAAACCCTTAAGCTCACGGACCGGAATGTTTACATCAGTGAACGCAGAGGAGGTCAGTCAAATATCTTCTGACATATTTCGATCTTGAGTTTTGAAATAACCTGTCGTGTTTTCAATTCTTAGATTTTACCCTCAAGTTGGGGGACCGACAAATAGTCACAAGCTTTTAGCAAGCTATTCTTACATCCAAACGAAGATTATCCTAACCGAAAGTGGGAAAAAGAGAAAATCTGAATTGCTCACGAGAATTTCGTGGCCATATGCTCATCACGAGTTCTCTTAAACCAAGAGAGGATGTGGAAATTTTCTCTTGGCGGAGCATCCGACGGCAAAATGCGACCCTCCGAAGCTCCAATCCCCCCAAGCGACAAATCATCAGCATCGCTTTTAATTAGTTACTCAAAAGCGCTGACCCTTGAAATTCATTACCCATAAAAGTTCTAACGAAATTGATGCCGTTAGAAAGCAAGTAGTCATGCATTATTGACCAAGCGTGAGGTCATTATGGCTACATACATGTGTGGGGAGAAAAATGTTCGGAGTGAAAATGCCATTTAAAAGAAGTATGTTAAATTCATTTAAATGCGAAGTCTCAAATTCCATGACATTTTCAACTTCTCACGGGTAAGAAGGGGCGTAACCTGGGGGAGGGGGGGGGCCTGAGTCGTTAGAATACCTGCCAACTCTCCCGGTTTTCGCGGGAGTCTCCAGGTTTTTTATCAAATCTCCCGGTCTCCCTGTTAGAACACCAAATCTCCCGGGAAATACCTACCGTGGCTTTTTTCAAATTTGTTTCAATAATTTAGTTGTTTTCGAGATGTCAGAAGGCTTTAGTGCTCTTATTTAAGCTGTTCTCGATTGGAAAGTAATTGCTGTTAATAAAAAAAAAAAACTAAGACACTGTATCTTCAAAGTTGTCACCTACTATGGCAGACCCAGAAAACTGACCTAAATTAGGTAGCAATTGTGACAAAAGAAGTACTCAGTTGTTGTTGTTGTTTTTTATGATAGCATAATAATCCACTTAGGATGCCAGGTGGAACTCTCAAAAAGTATTTTGCGCGCTTTATGTATCAATCAGTTTGATGCTTCAAGTAGGAGGGAAGACATGGTCAGTACACCAACAAAAAGAGATCTCAACACAAAGATGAAATACAACAATAAACTTTATTATTCACAAAATTGTCCTCATAACAAACAGTGTGATAGAAGTCTAAAAAAATAATTTCTCGTACAATATGATGGTCCGAAAGATGCTCCCTCAAAAAAATCTTGCGGTAACTGTTACAGCATAAAATAAATATCTCAATTGGGATATATTTCTCAATATTATTTTATGTATCTCCTTTACAATAGAAAAATATATCTCAAAATTATATTATCTTAACAGGGCGTGAAATTTTTTTTTTTTCTGATAGCCACTTGGCTCCTAAATTTTTCCACGTGGTAGCCAATTTTAAAAAAGTTAGTTGCCATTTTTGAAGACAAACAAAACCTTTTTCTTGCGCTGTCAACTTTCTAAGTATACCCCCCAATACTTTAAGTTGCTGCAAAGTGGACAGTAGGATGGATGATATACAACGTTCAAGCTCACCTAAATCCAAGATGGCGTCTAGGTATCGACTGAGATGCTATGTGCTGCGTTTTTGAAACAAACTTAACGAGAAAGTTTGCCGCAGATTTATCTTTTAATTCACTATATCTCTAGGGAAGGTCATGATGAAGCATTGTAGTCGCTAGTCATTCTAGTCGGGAAGGTCATGATGAAGCATTGTAGTCGCCAATTTAGCTACTAATTTTCAGGATTTGGTTGCCAAAGGGAAAAATTTAGTCGCATTGGCGCCTGTATTGGGCGCAATTTCACGCTATGCATAACATTGGTCAGAAGGCCTCTGTGCACTACAAATGAGAATATCAGTTCACTGAATGTTTATCACTGACAGAAACTTAAATGTGTTTAAAGGACTAGTATTGTTGAGATCAGTTGCTGGGAGGAAGCATTTCTGTCCTCTTAACCCTTAAATACCCAAGATCTGGTTGTTAATTCTCCCTTCTAGCTGCTATGCATTTACTTGTAAATAAGTTATGAGAATTTGATGTAAGATCAAGATAACTTCTTCCTGATTAGTTTCAGTATTCTCATCTGTTTGCTGGATAGTGTTTGGATATTATAGGGAGAAGTTACATGAATCAATCACTTCTGGGAG